TTTTTTAGTCTCTCTTTCTGTAAGTTCACTATTGGTGTATAGAAATCCCATAGTTTTCTTGGCGTTAATTTTGTATCCTGCTACATTGCCGAATTCATTTATTAAGTCTAATAGTTTTTTGATGGAGTCTTTAGGGTTTTTTATGTATAATGTCATGTCATCTGCGAATAACAACAGTTTTACTTCTTTTTCTCCAATTTGGATGCCTTTTATTTCTTCTTCTTGTCTAATAGCAATGGCTAATACTTCCAGTACTATGTCGAACAGGAGTAGTGAGAGTGGGCATCCCTGTCTTGTTCCTGTTCTTAAGGGAAATGGTTTTAGTTTTTGCCCATTGAGTATGATGTTGGCTGTGGGTTTGTCATATATGGCTTTTATTATGTTGAGGTATGATTCTTCTATTCCCACCTTGCTGAGAGTTTTTATCAAAAATGGGTGTTGGATTTTGTCAAATGCTTTTTCTGCATCAATTGATATGACTATGTGGTTTTTTTCTCTCAATTTGTTTATGTGATGTATCACATTTATTAATTTGCGGATATTTTACCATCCTTGCATCCCTTGGATAACTATTAATCTCTATAAAAAAAGAGACCCCATCCTGAGAGGGAGGGGGGTGGATTCTTCCCGCTGGTTACCACTGGGAGCAAGCAGCTGCTTTGCCCATCTATGTAAGTTTCTCCTACTAAAGCTCTTATGAACTTGAATAAGGCTACATGTCAGTTCTTCGGAACCAATCCTAGATTTAGGCTTTCCCCCAACAGTACATTTGAATACATGATATAATTTAATCCTGAAATAATCCTGTGAATCTCTCTCTTTAAAAAAAAAAAATTCTGCTTTACAAAGGAGGAAGTTGAAACTTAGAAAAGTTAAGTGACCAGGCCACAGTCACAGTCACAGTCATTTAAGAATATGGTACATCTTGGATAATTCTGATAGCAAATTCATTAGTAATAAGCCAAATGCAAGCTAATGCTGCTCAAAATCCCCTATAATAGTACTCTTGGGAAAAGAATTTATTAGAATTGTAGAATTTCTAAGTGCAAGGAGTTATCTTTCCTTGGAATTTAGATAGGATAAACAATTAAATGCCAAATTCAATGGTTGTTTTTTCTCTATTTTTAAGACTCAGAGATTGTGGATGTGAGCAACAGATCATGTCTCTGAGAATTAACTCTTTCCGGAGAAAACTCTGCAGAGTCTGGATCCTGACCTGATATATGGTCCCTGTAGATTCTAGATTCCCAATGGGAAAAGGAACCATGAAGAGACTGAGCCCAGGAGCTCCCCACCCCCTCCCCCTTTTTTTTTTTTTTTTTTTTTTTTTTTTTACAGGATCCCAGTGATGTCCTCAAGGAGCAGCTGGCTTAAAAACTTCTTGGAAGGAAAAGGAGGGATCTTTGTTACAAACTTCCTTCCCTCCTCCTGCTTCTGTTCCCTTACCCTCTGCCCCCTGCAGAGTTGTGTTTTCTGGGAATCGGCAAGTAGGATCACAAGTGGTCTTTTCTTTTTTTCACTCTCTCCCATAAAGAAAGCTTTATCACGTGTGGCCTTAAACTTGCAGCAAATTGCAAAGAAATGGCTCAAAGGCTTCAGCTCTTTCTGTGCCCTGGGAGCTGAGTGAGATGCACGTCAGTGGCGTTGCCAGCCTGGCCTGTTCTCTGCCGACTGCCAGGGAAAAGAGGCCAGGAGGAAAGAGGAAAGAAAAGAGATTGCCCAGGGGTGAGGCCATGCCCTTCATCTTTTCTTCCTCCTAATCTGCACTGTCTGTATCCATCCAGGCTCTCCCCACCTGGCAAAACCCCTCAGAGCTGCTGGATCATCCACCCCAGTCTGCTCTCTCAGTCTGTGGAGTGTGGTCCAGCCGCTTGCTGAGCACATTGAGAGGAAGTGGCTGTCTTTGATCTCCACCTCCAGGTAAGATTTGGTTTCTGCATTCCTATTTTGTGACTATCACGTCGGATCCTCGCAGGGGAGAGGTGACTAAACCCTATGAGTTCTGCATAGTGTCTTATCCATAACACGTTTCCATGAAAGATGTTGGGCCCCTTTGTTAAGCTGGTGGAAACAGAGAAGAGACTGGTTAAAGAAGTCAGACACACTCAGATCTAGGTTCCCATTTTGACTCTGATGTTTATTAGTTGGGAAGTTTTTGACAAGATGTTTCACTGCTCTGAGCCGTATCATTTTCTATGAAATGGGAATGATAATGTCAAACTTGGTCAGTTGTTTTGAAAAATAGCCAAAAATATATAAATCACCTGGCACATAAATAGTACCTATTAAATCTGAATCTGACACAATTACTTTTATTGGGAGATCAGCTTTCTAGAGAACACACATTCCTGAAGGTAGGGATCCTGGTGTCCAGGGTCTCACATCTTCATGTGAGATGACTGAGAGAAGAGTGTTGGGAAGTGGCTGCCTTTCTGACTTGGGGCAGTCTTTGGAAGCTGATTGCTGGATGGTTGGTCACAGGATCAGGGCATTTGTGTGCTCTAACTATAACCTTCTGAGGCCACTTGAGCTCTTTAAAGACTGGAGGATTGATTTTCAAACCTATGGGAACAGGGAATTCCATTTATTTATTTTTTCAGACTAAAATGAAGAAATTCTGCCTGCCTAATTTTCCCTCTCTAGAATAAGTTATACTTCAACCCACTGTGTTGGATGAGAACTTTGCCATGCCTCTTTCCTGGAATAATCTCTCCAAGTGGTAGGAGAACAATTAAGAATTTTCCAAGCGCAAATCTTTCTAAATATCTGTGCTGTTGCTCTACGTCTGCAATAGCAAATCAAGAGCAAAAGAGAACGAGCACCTGCAGGCCCCAAGGATCTTTCTGTTCGTGTCATTGAGCTTCTTCCCCCTCTTTTCACAGAGGGATGAAAAGCGCATGCTCCTTGAAACATGCTATACTTGAGAGGATATGCAAATTAGCCATCAAAATAAAATTATATTTTTACTAAAGCTATTCAGTGTCAGTATTTTAAGTGGGATATCATTTTGCCCTAACACAGCATCGATGAGGATGACCATAGTTCTCTTGTTTTGATATCACTCCTGGAGACTAGTTAGAGAGATTTTTGTGTCAACATCTCCAAATGTAAGAAGACAATGTATTTTGGTGTCTTAAGTTTTTAATAAACTTTTCAAAAGGAGATTTTTTTTCTCCTCAGCATTTACATTCTATTAACCCTTTTAATGTTTTCAAACCCATGTGAACAGGAAATTCAATTTGTAAGTGATAGTAATTTTCTTATTATATAATTTATTTTCATTTTCTAGTCACTGGCTGATGGGAAATAATATTTCTAGACTCCTAAAACAGTAGGTCAGTTTGACTTGTATAGTTTAGTTCTTAGAAGAAGACTGCATTTTAAACTGTACATTTAACAGTATTTATTTTGTATTTTAAAAACTTTCAGGTTCATATATTTTTTTGCTTGGTGATATTTTTATTATTTTAAAGTCTTTTCATATAAGAAATTGGTGTTTGTTATAGAAAACTTAGACAATATAGACATACAAAACATTTTTAAAGATCATCTACAATATCACCAACCAGAAATAATGAGTGTTAACATTTTCTTAATGGCATTTCTTAAGCTTTGTTTCTATGCATATATATGTGAATGTGTAGGTGTTTCTTATATAAAATAGAATGTTTATACTGCTTAGGAGCATGTATTTTTAAAACCAATTCTATAATGAAAATAGTTATAAATATACTATTTATAAAATTTACTTCTTTACACTAATTTCTAAGGGCTTCAAAAGATGTCATTGCCTGAGTATACCATAATTTACTGGACATTTAGTTAGTTTTTTTTTTTAATCATTATAAGCAATGGGTTTCTCTAAAATTTTAATTAAAGGTACTCAGTAGTTTTGTACTAAAGAAACCTATTTAACATTGTATAAACTCATTTTTCCCCAGACCCTGTTTTCATTGTTTTTGAAAAATATTGTTCTGGAAAAGTAGTTTCAGTGATCCAATGGATATATAGAGTTGGTCGTTGGTATCCGATAGTTGGTATGAAGAATTTTAATTTTTTAGTTTCTTAGAATGTGTCTTTTTAAAGTCAGAAATGATGTTGAATTCTGTTACTTACTGTTTTGCATCAACTGAGATTTTATTATTTTTCTATTTTAACTCTCCTTTTACAACTTGAAGTATGATCGCCAAATAAAAAGTATATATTTAAGGTGTACAACATACCTTTGAATTTTTAATGTAGTGATTTAGGTGATATAGTTCCTAATATTATTACATTTTTAGATATATATTAATTATAAAATATTAATTTGAATTTACTAGTATTTTTTGTATTTTAGCATGTCTAGATTTGGTCTGAAGTTTTCCTTTTTGTGCTATCTTAATGAAATTTTATTATCAAAGTAATTTTAACTTTGTCAAGTGAATGGAGACTATTATCATCTGTTTCCATTATTTGCTGTCTTTCCTTGAAAGACATCTCTTGGCAAAACACTCCTATTACATCATCAGTCCTTAGTATTTTTGTTTAAGAGCTAGTTTTAGAGTATTTTTGTTAAGGCTTCCTTGGCTATTTTCTTCTTCTGGTTTATATCAATACAGATAATTAATATTTGCTAGAAAGTTATCCATTTTGTCAAGATTTTAGTTATTTACATTGTGCATAATTTTTATGCTTTATACTCCTAATATTTACATCTTATTAATATTGTATCCTTGTGTTTTTGTCTTTTGATTTTGTTTAGCATTATCACCTCTTCATTTACTTTAGTTTTTAGGATTTTTAAATCTTTTTCGGTTTTACTCACTTTCCTTTGTCTATATTTTGAACGTTGTTAGGCACATTCATGAAATCAAATAATCTAAAAGTTTAATAATTATTGTTTTAAAACTAGTTCTTTGCTGTACACTTTTCGACTCATTTCACACTCCCTGGAGGAATTCCTTCCACTTTTAAATTGTTTAGGTCTTTCTTTTGATATTTAACTCAGTAACATACATACATATTGGCAGAATAAACCTAAATTTCTACCACAGCACTTGGCACTTTGCCCCTAACTTTATTTCTTTAGTAAGAATGATGGAAATATGGAAGACCTCTATTAATATGCAATGCATCCTCTGATAAACATTAAGGTGACTCAGAAGTTATTTTATTTTTGAATTCTTTCACTTAGATTTCTTTCTCAGACTGTCACTGAGAGAGCCATGAGGAATCCTAAAGAAAAGGGGACATAAGATATGTAAATATTGATGTGAACAGGGATAATATAGGTTCAGAGTATGTGAACATGTCCAAGACTCAGTAAGGGAGGGTGGGAAATTAAACACAGAAAGGGAGGCCAGAGATTACTTTCGCCTGAGTTAAATCTAAGTCTGCAATACAAATTTTACTGTGGTTTCCTTATTTGTCAAACTAAAATGATAATACAAATTGGTGCTTTCTAATTTTTTTTTCCTCCATATTTTAAGGGTTTGGATGTTGGGGACTTATAGGAGTCACAATGTGGTATTCTAGGACTCTTCCGCTAAGAGGATAGATTTAAAGGCTTTAAAGATTTAATTCTAATGAAGCAATATTCAAATGACCGAATTCCTCTTCTTCCTTTCCTGACTGCTTCTAGTTTAAGCTGGCAAGACCACAAAGTTAGCAAAATTCTGCCTCATTATTTATTCCAAAGGCAACATTTAAATTTATTCTTTGCCATAATGAGGCTTAAACTGGAGAGAAATGCTGGCACCCAACTCCTGATAGCAGGATTATTTAATCAAACATCCTGGTCTATTTTAATTGAAAAACTTTGCCAACTTACTGTGGTACAATAAGGTACTTTCAGGTCAAATTATGTCTACAGAATTGTGATCTATTGTGAAATAAAAATATTATTTAATAAACCACGTGAGTTTGAATGAAATGTTTTTGTTTTTTACTTTTAAAATCAACTTTGACAGATCAGAGTCAAGGAACATTTTCATAATGGACACTTCATCCAAAGAAAATATCCAGTTATTCTGCAAAAATTCAGTGCAACCTGTTGAGAAGCCTTCCTTCAAAACAGAATATTCCTCCTCAGAGAAAAAACAGCCCTGCTGTGGTGAACTAAAGGTATCAAACAATTAAATGCTAAAAAACTGTAAGTAGTGAACAAAAGAATAACAGCAAATTAAGTGGAGTTGATACTCTTGGCTCTCTGTCTAGTTATATTTTCTATACATTATAACTAGAAGCAAAAATTTGTTTCCTTTTTTAAAAATGGCCTTAGATGCAATTTATTGAAACCACCGTGTGCCAGGTAGTGAAAGCAATCTCTGCCTGACCATGTAGATCAGCGGTTCTCAACCTGTGGGTCGCGACCCCTTTGGGGGTTGAACGACCTTTCACAGGAGTCGCCTAAGACCATCGGAAAACACATATATAATTACATACTGTTTTTGCAATTAATCACTATGCTTTAATTATGTTCAATTTATAACAATGAAAATACATCCTGCATATCAGATATTTACATTATGATTCATAACAGTAGCAAAATTACAGTTATGAAGTAGCAACAAAAATAATTTTATGGTTGGGGGTCACCACAACATGAGGAACTGTATTAAAGGGTCACAGCATTAGGAAGGTTGAGAACCACTGATGTAGATTAAATTGCTAAGTACTACTTTCCTGGCTCATTTGCATGCCCATTCTTAACAAAAAAAAAGAGAGAGGAAGAAGAAATGAATAGTTACTAAATATCTACCATGTGCCAGATACCAGATATTATACTATGCACAGTTATAACATTTAATCTATGAAACATCTACATTATTCCCATTTTAAAAATAAAAAATTTGACCTTTCTTGCTGCACAGTATGGTCAGTGGAGGGGATAGGGTTAAATGGTGCTTTTTTTTCATTCCAACTTCCTATCTTTCTTTGTACCAAACATCCACCAACAAATATGTATTTTTGATATAAATGATAACCTACCCTATGGGTACCCTATTTTACCCCTGGGTCTAGCAAAATACATATGCCAGATAGCAAAAAAATTCATGCACCATCACTATGAATCACACAATCATGGGTGCTAGATTTGTGGTTAAGATGTGAAGTGTTTGGTTTATGGTTTCTTATTTTCTTACCTATGAATGGCTCCTACCTCTCTTTGCTTCACCATAGAATAAGTTTTCTTTTCAAAGCCACAATTCTTTTCAATATCCTTTGGAGGAAGGAGGAAGAAAGGAGAGGAAAAAAGGAATTCAACTTACATTCTGAGTAAATATCTGTTATTTCCAAAAGAAATTGAATTTTTTTTTAAATTTTACGTGAGTTTGAGGTTGAAATGCTTGAATAAAATGTTTAATGATAACAAGCTTGCTACATTGTTCTTGGTTTGGGGTTTTGTTTGTTTGTTCATTTATTTGTTTAGTAAGTTTCCAGTTGTGTGTCAAGCTGGAGTCACTAAGTGTGACCTATCATATTTTCCAGGTGTTCTTGGGAGCCTTATCTTTCGTTTACTTTGCCAAAGCACTGACAGAAGGCTATCTGAAGAGCACCATCACTCAAATAGAGAGAAGGTTTGAAATCCCTTCCTCCCTGGTGGGAGTTATTGATGGAAGTTTTGAAATTGGTAGGTATTGCAGATGCCTGGCTTTTAAGCACAAGGTCTTCTAGGCCTGAGTAAAGGACATCTTCACTGTAATTTGTTCTCTCTGAGCAACCAACAATATATTCCAGGTGTTCAACATTATACCAATCATCCATTTCAGAGTTCTCAATCAGAGTGAGAGACTTTCCCAGAGGAGGGAGGAGAGGTGAGATGCTCTCAGTATTTTTGAGTTTAAAAGTATGTGGTGAGTGTCTGTACAGAAGTCATTTATTCTGGAAGCTCTGTGTTTCAAAATTCAGAAGAATCCAAATGGGCGGTATGAAAAATCATTGTAATTATTGAAGAAGAAGAAGATAAGCCATGAAAGGGGGTTTCTGCCCAGTAGCCTAGAAAGAAGAGAGAGGAATTCTGTTGGCAAGACTAGTAGAGCAAAGCAGATATAATAAAATTCTACACTCAGGTGTCTTTAGTTAGCAATTGACTGTAGACAACCTCTTAGAATTTGAAAAGACCAATTGAGTTTAGTCAAAGTTTTAGAAGTAATTTAAGAGGTATAATCCCAGTTAGTCAGCTTCTTAAATTGATAAACTAAGAGGCATTAATTCTTTGTTAAAGTAGAATAGTAGTTCTGTGGTTACTACTGCCAATTGGGACTCAGATATATGCTATAGTAAAATCTTCAATGGCTACATTTTCAGCTTCACTTGATAACTTTCAGGACAGTGAAGGAATATTTTAACTCTTCAACAATTGCTTTTTTGAATTCATACTACATATTTCAGTTTTTAACACTGAATATCACAGAAAGAATTAAAAGAATGAATAGTTAACCTCTTGCTTTTGGGCATTTGCTACTTAAATCTTTCATCATTCTACCAGAATGAAATGTCTAAGTTTAGTGCTAATCATATGTTAATGTTCTAGCCAGTGGTCGGCAAACTGTGGCTTGCGAGCCACATGTGGCTCTTTGGCCCCTTGAGTGTGGCTCTTCCACAAAATACCAACTTCTGCGCATGGGCCACGAAGTTTCAATCGCACTGTACATGGGTGCCCACACGTGGTATTTTGTGGAAGAGCCACACTCAAGGGGCCAAAGAGCCGCATGTGGCTTGTGAGCCGCAGTTTGCCGACCACTGTTCTAGGCAATCTTGTTAATATGCAGGTACTGATTCTGTAGGGAGGGAAATAAGATTCTGCATTTCTAAGAAACCCCAGGTGATGCTGATGCTGGGGGAGGGCTTATGGGACAGTGTTTTTGAAGTCTACAGTAGTGCACACTAATGTCCTGAGCCTTCACATTCACTCACAATGAACTCACTAACTTTCCCAAAACAATTTCTAGTCCTTCAAGCTCCCTTTTATGGTAAGTGCCCTATACCATTTTTGTCTCTTGTATAGTGTATTTTTACTGTGCCTTTCCTATGTTTAGATATACAGTGGGGCCTTGACTTACGAGTGTCCCGACTAACGAGTTTTTCGAGATACGAGCTGTCTCTCGGCCGATTTTTTGCTTTGAGTTTCGAGCTAAAATTCGGGTTACGAGCCAGCTTCAGATACCCCACCGCTAGTTGGCACAGTGAACGTCACAGTGAATGCCACAACATCAGCCCAGCATCACGTGTCATTGTAATGGTGAAAATTGATTTGACATACGAGTAATTTGAGTTACGAGCTCCGTCACGGAACGAATTAAAGTTGTAAGTCAAGGCCCCACTGTACGAGTACTTACCATTGTGTTACAATTGCCTAAAGTATTCGGTACAGTAACCATGCTGTATAGGTTAGTAACCTAGGAGCAATAGGCCACACCAAATAGCCTGGGTGTGCAGTAGGTTAGACCATCTCAATACAATATTGATTTCTAAATGTTATCTGTATTTAGCAACCTTGTTTAATTTTTGTTCATTTTAATTGATTGTCTATAGATGGTGTAGAGTTTTCTGAACAGACAGTTATATTGTTTGAAACATAAGATGATTTTATATTATTCTTTCTAAATTTATAGATTTGTTATTTATTGGTTTTGCCTTATTTCTTTGGCCTCAGTATTAGGGTGAATAAAAGCAGTGAAAATGGGCATCCTTCTCTCATATCTGACCTTAATAAAAATGTTTTTAAAATTTTACAATTAAGCAATGTGTTTGATTGTGGTTTTGATATATATGCCTTAAAAGTTAATTTGCTCAGATATTTTTTCTTATTACAAATGAGTGGCCAATTATATTGAATGCTTTTCTACATATGTTAAGATAACCATAGTTATTTTATTACTTTTCTTTTTTTTTATAATACCTCTTTACTCCTGGAATAAACTATATTTGGTCCTTTCTTTTATTGTTCTTGTGTAGCTTTGATTTCAAAATATATTAGTCTTTCCCTAGCCAGTTTGGCTCAGTGGATAGAGGTTGGCCTGCAGACAGAAAGGTCCCAGGTTCGATTCCCGTCAAGGGCATGTACCTTGGTTGCGGGCACATCCCCATTAGGAGGGGTGCAGGAGGCAACTGATTGATGTTTCTCTCTCATTGATGTTTCTAACTCTCTATCCCTCTCCTTTCCTCTCTGTAAAAAATCAATAAACATATTAAAAATATTAGTCTAATAAGGTGAGTTGAGGAGTTTTCTATTATCTGAAATGGTGTGTGTATGTGGAATCTGTTACTTGAAAGTTTGGTAAAACATATTTTTAAAACTCTATGGAACTGTTGCTTTTTGACAGGCTAGTGATGGTAGATGTGAAAGAATTTTGATATCCAATTCAATCTTTTAAAGATCATTTATCACCATTTATTCTTCAAGTGTATCTTCCAAGAATTCAGAAAGGATACTAAGTAAAAGAACATGACTCATCTACATATCACAGATGCTGAAATGATATCATGCAGTATTTGGCATACCCACTAATGTAACACAAAAACAGACTGTAAACATTGAGTCCTCTATTGTGAGGGAAGTGGGGAGGGGAGGTGGTGTAGGGAGACATTATTTATAAACTGAAAACAAACTTTCCGGTTTTTGTTTTGTTTTGTTTTTACTGTGACACTCTAACAAAACTAGAGACATAATTAGCAATATATTCAACACAAAATTTCCTCTACTAAATACTTAGATGTCAAATGAGAAATCTCATACTCAATGTTTTTTAATATGAAAATTAAAAGGAGGTTAAATCTTCCGAGAGCCATAAAGCCTGGAGCCACGATGTAATCTACTTTTCTCACTATCATTATTGTCCTCCAGGCTAGAAAAATTGCTGTGCTTTTTGCACTTGACTAACGCTGGCAATGTGAATGAACAGTAGTAAATTAGATGATTGCTTGCAGATGTAAGGGAACACTCTTGCTAAAAGAAACACATTGGAAACATCAAGAAGGACTTTAACGCAAGGCTACCCATCAGCCATCATAATCCAGTGCTGCGTTATTGCTAAATTCTTGCTCTATCTAGCACTCTCGTGCTTAGAAAACTAAATGTTCAAAATGCAAATAGTTAATCCTTTAAAGCCCCTTGATATCCAACACCCTAACAGTGTTTATCAAAATATGTTCCAGGAACCATCTTCACCAACACATTTGAGCTAGGATTAAAAATGCAGATTTCTTGGCCTGCCCTCAGCTCCGTGGACTCAGACACTTTCGGGAGCTGCTGAGATTCTGCATTTTTAATACTTCTATATCTCTTACCACCTTGTTCCAGGAATTTTGTGCGGAGGAAAGCACGAGGACATCATCCCTAAAGCATGGTTAGTCAGTGTCTTCATCATCACACGCATCTCCAGAGACATTTTAGAAAGACCTAATTCCACCTTCAAAAAGTATTTCTTAGTTATTTTTTTATAAAGAGATAGATGTGTATAATTTGTGAGATTTTATATTACATAAAATTTGTATTATCACTATACATGGAAGTTATATAATTGATATGTTCCTAAATTGATATGGGTATTTATGTCATTTGTACTTCTACTTTGAATCTTATCTTTTTGTAAAAAGGATATAAACAAATTATAAATATCGTTTGTAAAAATATGAATTTTATAATTTGATTTCATTTATAGTGAGGTACAGTTGTTTTACTTTTTCTTACTAGTTTATATTCAGCTAAAGCAAGAATATGTGTTTCAAGAGCAAATGGGAAGCTATAAGAAGTTTTATTAGAAAACTTTAATAAATGAAGAAACAATAATAAAGTTTACTTCCAAATCAGCAAAGAAATTTTAAGAGAACAGCTGAAGGATGCCTTCTACAATTTGATTAATGATAAAAACACTTCAAAAGGACAAATCATTAGGGTGTGTGAAAATGAAGTAGAAGGCTTGGTCATTAAAATATTCTGACAAAGGGGTAACCTGATTGAAGTAATGAGTAAAAAGACAATTTCAACAGTCTTCTCAGTTTAAAAGAAAGAAAGTCAAATGATAGGAATGATGGTTGGAAACAGTTTAGTCACAACAAAATATCGCTAGGCTTGCTATAGACATTCATTCATTGACTTAACTTCATGTAGTTATTCTGCTGACTTTTTATAAGTTCTCTAACTTATGAACATTTATTCTTTCTTCCAAGGGAATCTCTTAGTTATAACATTTGTTAGCTACTTTGGAGCCAGACTTCACAGGCCAAAAATAATTGGAGCAGGCTGCCTGATCATGGGAGTCGGAACGTTGCTCATCGCACTGCCTCAGTTCTTCATGGAACAGTGAGTCAAATGCAATCATCCTGTTCTTGCTGTAACCAACAGCTGCATTTCCCTTTTTATGGTTACAATTAATTATTTAAACGTTATAAAATGGCCCCTGATAAATTCTATCTTATTTTTATTATATCTTCTTTGGGCAAAATTTCAGAGCACTTGCAATTTTACTTATAATTTAATCTGTAAGAAAAAAAGTTTGAGACACTTCTATGTATTGATGTCAGCAAAATTAAAGGGAAATTTTCACTTATATGTCTTCATTCAAGTGCCTTAATTTAGCTGTGGAGGCAAAATATAGAAGCAAAAAGAAATGAATATATTATGTGATAAATGTCAAATGGGTGTCAAATGGGTAATGAGTGAGTATTACTGGTAATATGCTGGGTCATGGTACACTTGACTGGCAGGACATTGACATAAGGATATGTTAGCAACTCAAAATAAGTATTCCATTTACAAATATTATCTCATAGCACTTTCTCAATTAAAGTGGGGTGTCTGTATCCTTGAACTCTGAAATCTACTTTTGGGGCTTTGTTAGTACATTTGTTAGTGCTTGCATACAACTTCAGTAGTTCCAAAGGTTTTTCACGTTTATTATATCACTAGAGGCCCAGTGTGCATGAAATCTTGATCAAGTAGCTCACTTCCACTTGCCTCAGCTGGCCGCCCCACCCATCGCCACTTGTAGCTCGTGCCCTGACCTCAGCCACTCATAGCTCCCCACTGCTAGTAGCTCACCCCCGTCCCGCCCGCCTCTGCTCGTTTGGTCATGATGGCATTATGGCGTCACAGCCACAGGCCTTTTATTAGTATAGACTAGAGGCCCGGTGCACGAAAATTTGTGCACTGGCAGGGGGGGGGGG